CTACTGACACGTTGTATATAGATTTATTCGCCCTCCCTTTTAATATTTTGTATGTTAAACAGAGAGAACTAAAATCTTGTTAATCATCATTTGAAGCCATTTTTGTAGAATATGAATATATCAGTGCTCGCCTTTTTTCCTTGTTAATGAAAATCGAATAGCGCTTGGGGAGCAAGTATTCCTGTTCAACTGCTGCCATCCATTACGAGCTCTGCTCAGAAGAAATAAGCACAGATGGTGAGTCTATTACTCCTCTAACTAAAAATGTGCCTCTCCTTTTTTTGTGTGTGTGTTTTTTTCCCTCCTTCTCATTGTAGTGTGAATGATTTTTCAAGTTGGACTTCTATAGGGATCTTTAAAATGTTCTATCCATTACTTGTACATTAAAGAGAAAAAGGAGTAATTAATGATTTATTAAATTGTATGAGAAAAATGCAAACAAAAAGCTTTTGTTAGGAAAAATATTTAGTTTCGAAACCATGCTATCTGACATGCAAATTAAAGTCTGTAGGGGTTATGTTTCATATCAAACTAGGATACTAAAGTATCATTTAGGGATGACAGAACCAGTTAGTGCATGTTAAAGATACCTATGTGGATCTTTTATTTATACGATGGTTTAATGAAAAATTGCCAGTTGTAAACATATTAAGAAAAAGAGCATAATGAGTTTTTACCATATTTTTTTTAGGCTAAAAACATAAACACAGTATAATACCCAAATCTTAACTGTATAGCTGAATACTTCATTAATGTTATCTTTGTTGTTTTGTTTTTAACAAAATTAGTACTCTTCTGTATCCAGGAGCCAAATCAAGAATTTAATATTGCTCCTTCTCCTAGATACTATCCTCTTATTATCTCCTTGGGTAGCACTTATGGTGATTTGGAACATAATTGATTAGTTTTATAAATTTTAGTAAATTAAATCAAAGTGTATGGTCTGTATCTTGCTTCTTTCATTCAATATTTAGGTTACAGGATTTGTCAATTTAAAAAAATATAGTTGTAATTCACTTATTGTAGTATATTTTATTATATAAACATACTACCATTTACTTGCCCATGCTTATTTTATGGACATCTGAGTTGTGTCCAGATTGGGGTTATTTTAAATAATGCTTCTACCTCCCTTTTGGCTAACATTATTGGGTATACACCTGAGTTTATAGGATAGGTTTAGCTTTAGCATACATGTCAAATTGTGGTTTACATCAGTTTAAATTCCCTTCCACAATGACAGGGATTTTCAATTGCCTCACATCTTTGTCAGTACTTAGTGTTATCTGTCTTTTTCATTGAAACAATTTTGGTTTGTATATAGCATTATTGCTTTGTGATTCTTCTTTACCTTAGAAAATAGAAAAGAATAACTTATTTTAATGTTATATTTCATTGAAGTATTTTAAGTTTCCTACTTTGCAGTATCTTTCCATATTTATATGATATATAAAAATAATGATTCTGAAATAGTCAATACTATAGCATCTTGGAATGAGATTCTTAATCAGCTATAATTCTGATGCATTTTATCTACATCTTTAATATTAATTTTAGTAATCGTAATAATTAAGAATCAAAACAAAAGGTAAAAAAGTCCTCATATTAACATGAAATAACATTCCTTCCTCTTAAAATAAACTTTTCTGGGTCTGAAAATAAGCAAAGATGTGAATCAATTAATAGCTTAATTGAAATTAAGAGATGAGTTTTGATTTCCATTGCCTGCATGATAACTGTTTCTGGATAAATATTGCAGGATCTAGTTTCTTCTCACCCTGCCAACAATTGTTACATATTTGTTGTTTAGCTGGCTACATGTAACTACTTGTTGAGGGCATTTTTAAGAAAAGCATACATTCCTTCCTAATTATAAACAGTGAAGGCTTAAAACAATTTTGTAATTAGAGTAAAAAGTAACATTTTGCACCAAGCTAATGTATTTTGAGCTTATATTAGTTGGTTTCAGGATTTTTCATTAATACTCACTGAGTGATTGTATTTTGGAGTTCACATTACTTGAATTTAAATCTTTGCTGCACACTTTATAAATGGGCGAGGCCTTGAGAAAGCTATGTAACCTAGTCAGATCCCAGATTCCCAACCTGCAGAATGGTAATAATTATAAGACAAATATTTTGATATGTTAATCTGGTTCTTCCAAGAGGCAGATGTCTTAAAGGGCTTAAAAACAAAATGATTTTATTAAGGGAAATCACAATGGAAGAAAATGAAGAGGAAGTTTAGTATGACCGGAAGTGCTCTTAACTGTGAGGCAAGTTTGATCCAGCATAAAGGAGAGAGAACAGGAAGGTTAAGCAGCAGCATTTGAGCATGATGTACAGTTTGAAAATGGTTAAGCAAGAGCTTCGAGGAATCTTGAGCCAAAATTGGTCCTTGGAGCAGCCCTGCATCTCCCAATAGCAGACTTGCTTTAGCAATGTCATTGACTGAGAGGCAGACGGAGAAATAGATTTTAGACTGAAGAGGCAAATGACCTTAGACAATTAGACTTCCTATACTCTGAGGTCTAGAAGGTGCATACTCATGGTCACCAAAGGATGGTTATTATGAAGGTGAATTGGCAAACTCCAGATAGAGTACAGTAGAGCCTGAATCATTGATTTGCATGAATTGGTTTATTTATTCATATTAGTTTTCATCATCATGAATAGCCAGCACATGGAGCAACACAGTGAGCCACATGTGCAATCTGCTTGGAACTAGGAAACTAAAAAAGTAATGTAAGAGTGCTACAGAGAATTTAAAAGATGGTTACTAAATATAAATTATTGGATTTTTCCAAAATAAAAAATATTATCACACATTAAAAACATAGGCACAATTGTTTTCTGGCTACTATTTGCTATTAGTATATCCTGCTAAGTCTCTAATGGATATTTGAATATCTAACTTTAAGTCTCTTATTTTTTATTTTATTTTTTTTGAGTCACAATCTCATGCCATTGCTCAGACTGAAAAGCAGTGGTGTGCTCACAACAACTCCAGCATTGACCTGCTGGGCTCAGCTGATCCTTCTGCCCCAGCCTTCCAAGTGGCCGGAACTACAGGTGCATGCAACCATGCCCTGTACCATGGCTAATTTTAAAAAATTTATTGTAGAGACAGGGTCTTGCCAAGTTGCCTGGGCTGGTCTCAAACCCGTGGGCTGAGGCAATCCACTTGCCTTGGCCTCCCAAAGTGATGGGATTACAGGCTGAGCCACCGACCTTGGCCAACTTTAAGCCTCTTTATGACTTTATAATAAAGTGGCCTCAAATTTGTTTTAAAAATCAAAAGATTTATCAATATCATTTTTATCATATCCAATTGATGTTAAAAAATATCAAATAGTTCTGTCATTTATTATCATTTGAAAGACCTATCTGGGAATTGTTTGATCTACTTTTTAAAATTGACTATTGGGAGTACATCATCTTGGGAAGAACAGGATATTTCTTGAAATCCTTTTGAATGGCCATATTCTCAACAGTAAAAGCTTTTCTTTATTTTTTTTGAAAGATTTTCCATTACTGTAGAAAATTCAGAGGGTGCTCATGGATAGTACAATACTTTGCTGAAATATGGGAAAGGAAAATTATGTTAAAGTCATGTAAATATTTGTGCTGAAAATTATTATATTTAATGAGAGCCAACACATTTCTCAGAGGAGAGTCTTAAACATAGATGGTGCAATATTCATAATGTGACCTCTGCCTCTTGCTTCCCGCCATTTGTACTCTCCACTTTATAAATAGAGGTCTATTTATTCTTCCCCCATGCATTGTTCACTCGCCTTTGCTATTTCTACTGCTGCGATGTCTTCCTTTGTCCTGGAGTTCTCATTACCCACACTGTCGGAGTCCTATTCTTACCATAGTACCTCAAATGGTACCGCAAGTGACAACTTCTCTTTTAGTTTTTCTCTAGTATCTGAGTCCAAATGAACGTCTCCATATTCTGAATGTCTACTATTGTGTTATCCTTACTTCACACTTGGCATATACAATTCCTTCCAGTTTCTTTCATAGTGTTACATTTTAATTATTCACTTGTCTTTATGTAACACTAGTCTGTCATGAAAATAGGGTACTTATATTGCTAAAATCAAGTAGGTGTTTTTAAAATAAAGTAAAATGCAGTGAATAAATGTTCAAATGCATGAGTTAATTAATGTGTTATGTTCTGGGGTAGATAATGAGTATTAAGGACAAGAATTGAGTCTTAAAGCTTCTTATAATTCTGGTGCAAGCCTTTGAATATAGTATGTACTTTGTGACTGAAGAATTTAGATATTTTTATGAATTCTAAGTTGACATATGATTATCAATTGGGAAATATAATGAACTTCCAAATGGTTTTCACCACTTGTGATCTCACCCTTTTACATACAGTGTAATTTACTATATCTTTGTTTATTTGAACCTCGGTGAAAGTGAATTGTTTCCTCTACTTACAATAGATTTTGCAGATTTTAGTTTTTTGTAAAATTGAAGAGTTTAACGTGTGCAGTTATTTATAATGTTTATGATTTTTAACTTGTGCAGTTAAAATATGTATTTTAACATATGCATGTACATATATATTTCTTTCAAAGTCTAATATTTAAAAAAGAAAATTGGGACTGATCTATATATTGCATAAGATGAAGTACATTAACCCAGATAATGTGGGTACAGACATATGTGTAATTCAGCAAGATTTGGTAACAAAGTAAGATATATATTAACTTTTTCAAGCATATTGGTAAATACTATTAAAAAACAAATAATTTTAGGTTGAGTCCTTTGAGAGTAAAACATTTTTAAAATAGTGTCTATCAGCACGCTAAGCATTTTAGCATTTTATCTGGAAAAACATTGCAACTGTGTCAGTTTCTGTTCCAAGAAAAAATGCATTGGTGTATGCTTTTCAAGGAGGAAATTGAGTCAAGTACTTGTGGCAGATAATACTCTGATCAGTTTACTAAGTCATATATCCTTCAATTTTCAATTTGTTAGCTATACTCAACGTGTGGTTGGAAATGGAATCAAAGCCCAATCTGGAAATCCTGAAGTTAGAGTCAAAGGAACTGATCCTGTGATAAACCAGATTATTGATAAACTGAAGCATGTTATTCAGGTAAGTGCTGATCCTATATGTTTTGGCACACTCAGTCATCAACTGCAAGTGGTTACTTTCTGTTATATCTTATAACTTTGTTTATTGCACCAGATAATCCTACCTAAAACTGAGTATAGTAATAAATTATTTGGATCTAGAGTTTTGGAACTATTTAGTTGAGTGATTTTCATATAGTCAGTGTGTGGTGGTTTGTCATGGTGGGAATCCGTATCTGGGAAAAGCAAGCTGTGTCTTCAGCATTTCAATAATGAGAATCTCAGAATATGCTTCATCCTCAGTGAATAAGTTTTAAACATGGAAACTACTGTGATCATTAAAGAAAACATGTATCGGAGTGAGAAAAATGCCATAGTTATCTTACAGGTAATTCATTGAAACTTACTAGAAAAGTTTTTGCTGCATTTTCAATAAAAGTTAAGTCATAGCTGAATAATATGCATTTGTAGTATTTATTTTGTATATTTCCTTTTGCATGTTATCTGTAGTCTACCTAATGGTTGTTTATGAAGCATTTTGTTTTATCTTTAATAATATTATTCAACCAAGTGAGGATGTGTGGCTATTTTTAATACATAGCATATGTGTGGCTATTTTTAATACATAGCATATGAAATATGAAGAAATCTAAATAAGTTTTATTGAAATATTCTATTAATTGGAACCAAATATTATGTGACACATTAGAAATGCCATCCCTATTCTGCATCTATTGGTGTTTGGAGTAAGAAGAACTATTTAAAACAAAAACTATTCATCATTTTACAACAATTTATATGTGCATATATTTTTAATGTTTCCAAGTAAAACTTTGGATGTTGGTACTTATTTCTAGTATTGTAAGTCAGAAACAATGCCTAAAATACTACTGAGTTTTTATTGCTTACAAAGTAGTCCAGAGTTGTTAGTATGCTTCTCATAATTGTTCTGCAAAGCCAACACTTAATTTGTGCAGGCCCAGTTCTTAAGTTTTCATTTTCATGAGAGTTCCTATATCTCAGGGAAAGGCTGTGTACTAAGGACATAGGGGCTGGCATCAGATACCATCCATTTCTCTCTTCCCAGAGGCAAATATGGCTACTTTGTTTTTACTCCCACTGATGCATTGGGAAAACAGAGCTCTCACCCTGGGTAGAAGAACCAAAAGTAAGTTCCATTAGAAGTGGTAACTTGACTGCAGAGGGGTGAAGCCTTGCAACCTCTGGTATGTTGGTCCAGGGGGTACCTCACAGCCTCATCCACTCTAACTTAATGTAAAAATCTAGATTATTTGAAAATTCTAGGGCACAAGATAATAACATCAAAATAACTTTAATATTAATCAACTTCTGTCATTGAGAAACAGAGGAGTCTTAGTGGTTTTCAAAGTGGGGTAAGCATTCCTCAGGGAGTGTAGGGAGGAAAACTAGAACTTCAGTGTATATTTAGTCAATCTCATTCTTTTATAGTTTTGGTCATGGACAGGTATATTAAATATGTAATATATCAGAAAAATAGCACATTTGTATAGTTTGTAAATATATAAATATGCATATCCAGTGGGCATGCATTCAAATTGCTTATACAGGATATGTACATGGTGGAAACAGAATGGAAATACTGTTATAGATAATAAGGATGGATTTGCTATGTAAAAAGTGCATAGTTATAAGAAACCAAATTCACAAAGAAATACATATATGGGCTTATAAAAAAACCTTGGGAGGAGGGTTCCTTTCCTTGTTGCTCATTCAGCAAAACATTACCCCTTCTTGTTTCATGGTTTAAAAGCCACAGACTTGTCCAGGTGGCAGATGGAAATTACCCTACTTCTCTTTTTCAGTTCCTGTGTTAAATTGAGTCCCACTCTTTCATCTTTATAAGAATGTGAAGATCTCCAATTATTCGTGCTTAAGTTTTATCGAGGGCTACAAGAGAATATCAAATACAATGCTACCTTTGAGGTCCATCTTTTTAAAGTGTGCTTGAACGATATGATTGAAATTTAGATTTTTATAGAGGATAGCTGAAAGTCATGTCTCACACAGGTGTCACTAAAATATTCACCTTTAATGTCTAAGAATATACTCTTTCATAAACCACTTTCCTGGAGATGAAGAGAAATTTTTTTATTTTGCCAGACTTCTGACTATTGATAATGTGCGTGTGCCCTAGCAGGGGTGACCATTGTACTGTCAATATCAAAGGTGGTTAACAGGACCCACCACTATGTCAGCTATGAAAAGATTCAGACAATTGTCTTCTGTAGGCAAGAATTTATTAATTTGATAGTAATGAACCAGGGAGGAAGTATATGTAGGTATATATTTCAGAATCTAATCTGTAGATTTAGATGATCACTTCTCAGTGTTTAGTTTCGCACACCAATTTAGTTCATTTTTACGGAATAATACGAATTACAGTTATTCTAAACCCAACAATAGAACATATGGCTTACCCTTTTCTAATACTCTCCCTATGAGGCATAATTATAACTAGTTCCATCTGTCTACGTCAAACAGACTTAAAATCACTTATTGCCTATTCCTCAGTTAGCCATATAGCTCTTGTTATTGTAGCAGTCCTTATCCAAACCCCATGAAGTTTCATCGGAGCCACTATCCTTATAATTGCCCACGGCCTCACCTCCTCCCTATTATTTTGCTTAGCAAACACAAACTACGAGCGAATTCACAGTCGAACAATAGCACTAGCCCGTGGCCTTCAAACCCTCTTACCTCTTGCAACAGCATGATGACTCCTCGCCAGCCTAACCAACCTAACCCTCTCCCCAACAATTAACCTAATCGGTGAACTATCCGTAATAATAGCATCATTTTCATGATCACATCTAACTATTATCTTAATAGACCTTAATACCCTAATTACCGCCCTATATTCCCTATATATGCTAACTATAACACAACAAGGAAAATATACATACCACATCAGCAGCATTAAGCCCCCCTTCACCCGAGAAAACACATTAATAATTATGCACCTACTACCCCTAATCCTACTATCTACTAACCCCAAACTAATTATAGGAACCATACACTGTAAATATAGTTTAAACAAAACATTAGATTGTGAATCTAATAACCCCAAAATTTCTTATTTACCAAGAAAGTATGCAAGAACTGCTAACTCATGCCCCCATATATAA